GGTAAAGTTCTCATTTTTTTAATTTAATTGGTGCTTTTTAAGTATATTTATTTTTATTGATTCATTTATATATTTCTGTTTTTATTTCTTATTAAGTTAGATTCGGTCCCCCATATTTTTCCCCTCTCTGTCTAGACTTCATGAGTTGGTAAAAAAAAAATGGTGAAAATTAATCATTTCAAACGTACAATTCACTGTGTCACACTTCTTACCACTTTTGGAGGCATCCTTGTTGCCAGATCATGAATGGCTTTTCCAAGAATACACAGGGAGGAAAGAACAAACACAATCCCCAGGATGACACACGCTCTGAAGACACACACACAGTAAAGAGAAAAAAGTCTAAAACACAATTATTATACAGAGGATGAAGACAGAGCTGGATGGAGTAACAGCCAAGTCATCCTTAGGCACTCAAAAATGAAAGGTCAGGAATTTCATGCTGTTACATAAAGTTCTGAACGTTACCCACAATTACACATACACACAAATCATTAATGTCAGAGGTTCTCAGGATGATTGTCTGTTCTATTTAGAGTGCTGTGTTCTATCAGAACAACCAGGACCTTATTCAGAGGGAATAATCTTTCTTCTTACAGTTTTGAAGTTGGTGTCAATTAGGCAACATGTCCCTTTGAAGATAAGCTCGTTTATTGTTTCTACGCAGCTTCGTGTTACAAGAGCTTGTCTTATTTTGACACGTCGCTGGGTACAGATCACAAAATCAGTCTCCCTGCAGGGTGGAGACAGATTCTCAGCAGATCCAGTAAAGCGGGGACTTTCATTTCTCTCAGTTTGTTTCTGATTTTGATTGTAGCCTCTATGGTGGCAAAGTAATGCCAAAACTCTTGTGAGAGTAAACGAGATCCCGCACGAGCAAATTAATATCCAAGTGAGTAAAAATGATAATTGTGAAAGGGGAATGCAGATTTCTACAAGCTGCTTGATAGTGCACACTTACAGCGGGTAAAATAAGTATTGAACACGACAACATTTTTCTCAGTAAATATATTATTAGAGGTGCAAATGACATGAAATTTTCACCACATGTTGATAACAACCCAAGTGATCCATACATACAAAGAAATCAAACCATAAATGTCCAGAAATGAAGTTATTTGTAATAATGTGGAATGGCACAGGGAAAAAGTATTGAACACACTTACTGAAATKTATCTAATACTTTGTACAAAAGCCTTTGTTGTCAATGACAGCTTCAAGACGCCTCCTGTATGGAGAAACTAGTGGCATGCATTGCTCAGGTGTGATTTTGGCCCATTCTTCCACACAAACAGTCTTCAAATCTTGAAGGTTTCGTGGACCTCTTCTATGAACTCTGATCTTTAGTTCTTTCCATAGATTTTCTGTTGGATTCAGGTCAGGTGATTGGCTGGGCCATTCCAGCAGCTTTAGTTTCTTTCTCTGAAACCAACTGAGAGTTTCCTTGGCTTTGTGTTTGGGCTCATTGTCTTGCTGAAATGTCCAGCCACGTTTCATCTTCATCATCCTGGTAGATGGAAGCAGATTTTTATCAAGAATGTCTCTGTACATTTTTTCATTCATTCTTTCTTCAATTATTTGAAGTTTGCCAGTCCCATATGCTGAAAAACAGCCCCACACCCTGATGTTCCCACCTCCAAACTTCACTGTTGGTATGGTGTTTTTGGGCTGATGTGCAGTGCCATTTGACCTCCAAACATGATGTGTATTCTGGCATCCAAACAGTTCAATGTTGGTCTCATCTGACCAGACTATATTCTCCCAGTATTACACAGGCTTGTCTAAATGTTGTGCAGCAAACTTTAAAGGAGCTTCAACATGCTGTTTCTTCAGCAGTGGAGTCTTGCGTGGTGAGCGTGCATACAGGCCATGGTGGTTCAGTGCATTACTTATTGTTTTCTTTGAAACAATCGTACCTGTTAATTCCAGGTCTTTCTGAAGCTCTCCACAAGTGGTCCTTGGCTCTTGGACAACTCTTCTGATAATTCTTTTCACTCCTCTGTCAGAAATCTTGTGAGGAGCACCTGGTCATGGTCGGTTTATGGTGAAATAATGTTCTTTCCACTTCTGAATTATGGCCCCAACAGTGCTCACTGGAACCTTCAGAAGTTTAGACATTCTTCTGTAACCGATGCCATCATTATGCTTTGCAACAATAAGGTTGTGAAGGTCTTGAGAGAGCTCTTTACTTTTACCCATCATCAGATGGTTCTTGTGTGATACCTGGCCATCATTTGGGACTGAACCAGCTGATATTAACTTGCACTGACAAGGGGCAGGCTTGCTTTCTAATTACTGAGAGAGTTCAGCTGGTGTCTTGGCTTTACATGCCTTTTTACACCTTCCTTTCTTCATGTGTTCAATACTTTTTCCCTGTGCCATTCCACATTATTACAAATAAYTTCATTTCTGGACATTTATGGTTTGATTTCTTTGTATGTATGGATCACTTGGGTTGTTACCGACATCTGGTGAAAATTTCATGTCATTAGCACCTCTAGTAATATATTTACTGAGAAAAATGKTGACATGTTCAATACTTATTTTACCTGCTGTATGTTAAGTATTAGCTTAGGTGAGGTTTACAACTATATTCTGGTGGCAGATAGCAACAGCAATATAAGGTAAGTTGCTAAATATTTTAAATAAATGTTAAGGATATGACATGTTGTGTGACACCCAGAATATTATACATTACAAGACATAAATAACCTACTTTCTGACAATGGTCTGCCATGTAGCTGTCCAGCTGTTGTATACTTGCAGTTTGTTCAAAAAAGTTTCTTATAAAAATGCTGTCCGGCCAAAAGGAGGACAGGTATTGTCTTTGTGTAGTAACAGAACGCCAACTGGATCCACCCACCCACTGCCAAAAGTGTTGCGAGCGAACAAGCAGGAGGAAGCTCCCACAAGGGGAGAAAATGTGCGCCCAAGATCAGATCTCTATTTACGCTTACAGAAATCTGTATTCCCCTCTTGCAGGTATCATTTTTTTCCTCACTCAGATATTTATTTGCATGCATGGAATGTTAATTTTCTCGAACGGGATCTTCGAGAGTTTTGGCATGATTTTGTCACCATAAATTCTAATCCTAAATTTGTCGGAATTCGTAGATAAGGATTAAATTGGCATCTTGGTCTTTCATTACTGGTGCCACACCTGAGCTGAATCATGGTGTTCTTGTTWGAGAAGCAGGAGTCTCTGTGCAGGCTGACAGCTAATTAATAAAGTCCATAATACACAGTGACAGACATTTACTTTGCTCAATAAGAAGACAGCATAAAAACAACATTTTAAATTGATGCGGGGATGTCTGACGTGATTCAAAGCTTATTAGAACAATTCATTTCTTCAAACAAAATTTCAAATGTCACCTGAAAATAACTGACACTGACTTGAGCTTGTATTGGATTGTTTCACGTTTGACTGGCTTCTACTCACATGTACTCCCTGTGTGCAGAGTGCACAGCCGCCGCATTGCTGTAGCGCCATAAGACGATGGCTGACGACATGACGTCCAGCGTGGCGTCAAACTACAGCAAAAACAGAGACGGAGGTGAGAGAAAAACTGGAAAAAAAATTGTGAAGTCATCAGCTAAGTTACAAAATCAAAAAAACTACAAACACATAAAATGAGGAGGATAAAAAATGTGTTTTGTACATTGGGAACATGGTCTTGAAACAATTTAAATTATCTTGGTCACCTTTTACCACATGTGATTAGCACCAAATTATACAGCGTGCCACATAAACACATTTTTTATTTATATGATTTGGCAAAGCACTTTGTTGATACATTATTTAGCACGATTTCATTTATTTTTTATGTTTATATATAACGATTTTATCCAAACTGTTGGAAAATATATTAAAATATGAGTTTATATTAAAATGTACAGAGCCCGCCAGAGGACATGGGAGATTTTTATTCTTTTGCGTTCCCTCGCAAAAGTCATTTATCACTGTTGTGCCTGCCGGTTTATTAACACATTCACGTGTTCACCATTAGCGAGTTAGCCTACTGCTTTAATTCAGCTTCAGAATGAATATATCACACAACCACGCATGGAAGTATGTCATATGCCGATATTTTAACACAGTGCAGCCATGCAACATCAATGTCAATTTCACGAACTTGTGGCGACACGTCCTGTTTTGGTAACTGGATATTTCAAAATAAAAGCCTGATTTAATTCATTTCATATACAAAACAAACCTTTGTGAGGTAATGCAAAAGTATTGCAAGGTAACGCAAAAGTATTGCGAGGTAACGCAAAAAAAGTTTTGCGAGGTAATGCTAAAGCATTGCTAGATAATGCAAAGATATTGYGAGGTAACGCAATAGTATTGTGTGGGAACGCAAAAGAAAAAAAAAATCCCCGTGTCCCCTTGTGGGCTCCGTAAAAATGAAAAGCAACAATTAGTGAGTTTGGAGTAATTCATTTTCCAGTGATCAATATCAATATCATTTCAGTTTTTAATTATAATAAGTGCATTGTTGGCTTTAATCATCRTGTTAGAAAAAAGCTACAGATAATYTGATGCTTTGCAGGTTTCCCACTTATTAAACAGAGGAGCATTTGTAAATTAAAATCCAATCAGTCGTAAAGAGGTAGCAACAGCAGACCCAGTTTTCTAATAACCGTAGGCTGATCTCATTTCCCATCAAAATGGGGATTTATTCATTTTCATTTTAGCGTTATTAAGTTTTGCCTTTTTTCTGCTAATAGCAAGCTCGATCATTTTCTTGACAATGAAAAAAAATCARTTAAAAAGAAAATGAAAGCAGGTAGGAGCCTGAAGTCTTATTTTGCAGACACAATAAGCTTCTTGACATTCAACCTCAGCTCCTTGCCGAGTCCATCTTCTCCCCTCAGTTACTGTGGCAACAAAGGGAGCATTAACGCTTTGGTGCTGGGATTCATTAATAAATCACTGGCACCCCGGTTCGGACTAATTGATCAACACAAAAGGAGGAAAGAGAGGAGCCAGGACTCACAGCAAATCCAAAAGCTGACGCGCTGTGTCTCATGAAGGAAACAGCTGTGGAGACAGAAAACATCAGTGAATTATGTCATCAGAGACGGTTGATGATTCAACGTAATGTTTTCTCTATTGGCAGAATAGATTCATAAACACAACAGTCATCATGTTTAATACACCTCAGCACAAAAAAACTGTAAAAAACTCAAATAAAAAGCTTTTTTAAATTTATACCAGCTTAAACAAAACAGAAAAACAAGGTCAACAATGACAGAAAGTATCAGTCATGCACGGTTGTGGAAGGTTAATCCTGCCACAAAATTTAGTTTCCGTTGAGTCAGCGTTGAACCCTCCAGCCCTCCGTTGTATTGAATGTTTTTGTTTGTCCAACAGCTAATTATTAAATAAAAAAACAGCTCCTTAAACAAGACAGTGACCCAAAGAACAGCAGCAAAATCCATCCTGCTTCATCCCTTCAGGATTATGGGAGGTCACTGGCATAGGTGTATTTGCATGGGGTTAGGGGGGGTTATGACCCCCACTATAATTTGATCCAGTCAATATAACCCTTTCAATGAAATGACATCATTTGCTCAAACACAATAAAAGTGAACTGGAGTTTTAATCACGTATCAATAATAATTTGCTTTGATCCAGTCAATAATTCACTACTATTTGTTATTGATGATCATCACGAGGAGCTCTTAATATTAAGATTTAATCAGGCAGTCAAATATTCACATATATGTATTTTTTTATTATAATTCAAGGTGAGTCATGCAAATTTATAAACAATTACCCCCCACCC